AATAACATTTAACTAATATTTAAGAAATATTTCTTTTTGCTTTGAAATATTTACCGTTAATTGACCAATGAAAATTGAGATAATATGTTCTAAAGTTTGTCACACTTATTAAAAATAATATATTAATAACGTTTTGGGTGTTAATGGTGTTATATATAAAAACAAAAAGTGTTGGTACTATGAAAAAGTATTCTTAATTTATGTGCTTCATGTTAATTAAATATTAAAAACAAATCGTTTTGAAATAACATTTAAATAATATTTAAAAAATATTTCCTTTTGCTCTGAAATATTTGCTATTCATTGATCAATGAAAATTCAGATAATATGTTCTAAAGTTTGTTCACATTTATTAAAAATAATATATTAGTAACTTTTTGGGTGTTAAGGTTATTATATATAGGTACAAAAAGTAGTATGTAATAAGAAAATTATTAATAACTTATTTGCTTCATGTTAATTAAATATAAGAAACAAATATTTAAAAAATAACATTTAAGAAATACTTGCTTTCGATCTGAAATATTTAGCAAACATATAAATATTTCCTAAATATGTATGTAATATTTTGTGCTATCTGGGTTCTCTCTGTAATGATGTAAAGATGAGCCCTCTGGCTCATTTTGCTTTCGAGAAATGAGTAAAAACGGGACCGAAAACAAGAAATTTTGGCATAATCTTGCACCTAAGTGTCTGATATTCAAGTTTCGCTTTCTGGGTCAAAACCACTCGAATTTCCTCACTCATGTGGTTATGACTAAATCGAATTTTCAATTCTCTATCTAACCATGCCAAAACAAATGCTGTGGCACAAATGGGGCCTGAGAGACTGCCAAAAAAGCAACGTCGTGTTTGAGTCAATTTTGCAACCAGTTTCCTATTTTTGTATCGGAAAATAAAACCATCAAACAGGTCGATCAGTTCAATAACCGACATACAAAACACCTGCTTCCGTTAAACTCTTCAAATGCATTTAATTCCGCATAACCGATATGAAACAACTAACGCGTTTTTCAACGAGCTTGCTTCATTTATCGCGTCCTGGTGCAGAAAATGGAATAGTCTGGGCTCTTCTCCCCCATTAAAACCATGAAGATTTTGAAAAGTTGACCATTTTCATTGAACTTCGGTTCTCCGAAAGACGTTTAAACCAGCCCACTTTTCATCAATATTTCCAAATCAAGGCCAATATTTGCAAAATCTTCAAGACAAAAATCCGTGTTCCAGTGGCCGATTGCTGATAAGAGGCAGAAAATGTGGAAA